GTTGCCGGTCGTCGTTTTGTAGGACCGATGACGCAGGCCCTTGGGTCAGTCTTGGTTGTTGTCTAGAGCTCTCTGCGCCAACAATACGGTAACCATCCTGTCCTCCTTCAGCTGTCGGTGTGTTTTTTGGCCTCGATGTAGTATATGTCACAAAAGGATGAAAACGTGCGATATGCATTCATATTACCCGGTAAATTTCTATCCAATGCTTGCAGAACTCAAGGTCTCCCACGAGGTTGCAGTCACTCGCAATTTCCCAATCCACACAAACAAGATTGCACCTGAAGTCATTGGAACAGAGTCCATCAGTGCTACAGATATGCAATGCATTCCATAACCTGATCGTAGTTGAATGGGAAGTTCCGCAAGATTTATCATTGTGAATATGACGATTACTAGCGTTTTGGGCTAGAATAGTGAGATCGCATTCCAACCATAGCTGATGAGGTAAAAATTGACTAGTTATCAAATTTTTGGACAAGTCGAAGTTGACAGCATATTAGTCTTGAGTAGGGGGTTTTGCTATAAATACTGGTGGGTTTGTTGCAGAGAGTACCAAATCAGATCGTCTACCATGTGTCCGGAAAAGCACCAGACTGCGGTTTCAGTGAATTTGGCATCATCAGAAGTGCACGTCCCTCAGATTCGAACCCATGACCGCCAGCTGCTTGCACCGCCATTCAGCAGCTTATTCCACTGGGCGCAGGGGGTAGCTTGGGACCGCCATGATTTGAAAGCTAATTACGATATAGTGCGCCTCATCCATCACTGTCGTGCTACTTACAAGTGTTGCAGAGGACAAAGTTGGCCCCGAAAGACACGAGTTTCAATGATAGAAGCAATGTATGACACAGCATTTAGAAGCTGTCAGGGCAAATATAGTTTGATGTAGCCATGAGTAGGGGATCCCTGTACAAATAACTGGAGGTTCGCAGCAAACAGTTCTAAATCAGATTGTCATCCAAATGTCTGGCAAAGCACTAGACTGCAGTTTCAGCCTGTTGGGCATCATCAGTCGTGCACATCCATCGGATCCATCAGAATTCGAACCCATGACCACCAGCGGATTGAACCGCCAGTCAGCAGCTTATGCCACTGGACCACGGGGGAAAGCTTTTTACTGACAGACTGGTCTCTCTTAAGAACAACAATCCTTGCTGGAAAACTATCCATTAGGCGTCGATCACAAAACGTACAATGCCCGATGGTACTATCTCGATGAGGTAGAAGACGGATAACCACAGCCGGGTCATCCTCTATGGTGAAACGCGTATCTTGGTTTAACGATCATATTCACCCCATCGTTAAGTAGAGTGAGCTTGGGGCGCGATCAATAGAATGACTTATCATTTTCTGCGCACGGTAGTTCACTTCACAATACCAACAACGTGCCATTCTCCCTCCATAAACTAGCCACGTACATCACATGAACTCACCCCATTAGTAATTACGCGCATACCCTTTGGTTGTCTCGCAACGCCTAATGCGGAAACAATGGCGAAATCTCCGGGACAGCATTTAGCCTGAACGCTATGGAAACAATGGCTTCGCGTTGCATAGCAGTGCAATATCAGTTCAAAGTACTTCCATTTATGTCAGCGAAATTCTATGCATTTACTTATCAGTGCAATGTACTGCGCGAGTCTAACTCCTCCTCACATGATCTATCATGTGCTGACAGTGCTGAACTTCAAGCAGGCTCCTGTCTCTGACACAAATCGCTCCAGAAATCATATTATGCACTCAGTCTTTCAGAGTAAACCCTCAGGACCTCCCTGAAGCATCATGGAATCTCTCTGTCTCATAACTTGCTTCAGATATGTTTCTACGATGCTCTAAATGACCTCAATTTGGTTCAGTGATGGTGAATATAGAGAAAGGAACAGGAGGCTGCCGAAGGGTACGAGTCCCCTTGGAATATGCGTTCCAGGTTCGTGTGACATGGCGCATTATCGCTGATCATGTGACAGCTTCCGACAAAACTGGAACCCTTGGCATCCGGCATGCCACGCAACCATGGCGCACATCTTGCCTTATTAAAACTTCCTGTCACTATGTTATACTCTATTAACCTATCAATCATCATGGCTCTAATAAGATGAAACTTCTGTACTTGGAAGATGAGCGCATGAAACTGCGCACGAGTTCCGCGCGGCGAACGGCCTCTGTTGCGAGCACAGAAGAGCTTGAAATTTGTTTCAGCAATCTACACGGTTCTTCTCCCATTGACTTGCGTATGCGACCGTGCCGAGGTAGGATTTTCTTTACTTTTTGTTCGCCTGTGGTTCGTGCATCCCGGGAAAGCATGTAGTTTCTTCCTTGTTATTAATCTCGCGTTCAAGTGTTGCGCTATTTTGCAAACGCTCACCTCAAGCATGAACTCAGCTTCTAAACACAGGCGAATGGGTTAAAGAGTGACCGCTAGTTCCGATGGTAAGCATTCTACAGATCAATCCAAGTTGCTTTCTGCCAGACATCTCAGTCGCCCCACCATGTTTCCCTCTTTGTTAGATTGATTACAGTCTTCGTAGCAACTGCAGCAGCTCTTCCAATTAACTTGTAGTAAACACGCAAGTGGCACCCATATGTCTCTTTCCTCATAACTCTTCAGTATTCAGCTCTCGACCTCCGCGGTGTGGCGCGTACGGATGCCTTTACGTGACATTCCGTTGCAAAAGTTCCGAAGTCGTATATCAGCATTAACCTTCTCGGTAAAGTGCCGCTCAAAACTTCCTCTCCTACCCAAAGCTGCTGCCTATCAACCCGCATTTCAGTGCCAAGTTGCGCAGGTCCTTTTTATCCTTTACTCCCAAGCACGTCCTAAGATATTGCTACCATAGGCTCCGGTACTTCGTAACGATGAATTCGTGACTGTGGGTAGTGGACAATCCTTCTACAGCCTGTAACGATTAAATTATGCACAAACTGACGAAATGAATGCTGAAATCGTGTTATGCAGCTTTGTTAACCTATAAAAACCTTAAAAAGCGTGATGCACTCTGATTTTGCAATCGTTGCTTTGACGCTTTAACGGAGGGGTTTCCAGCCCAATCAACAACATATCCTAGTGGTAGCGTGCCGAATTGTCGACCGTAAGGCCGGGTTTCAAACTTTTGGTACGCTAACTTCTGTACTCGTTCCGGCGTTATATATACTAAGAATGGAGCTATACGGAGATTGCGACGGCTAATGCACAAGGATAACATACAAAAGTTAAAACCTTAAGCTGGTTCTACGCTTACACATCTATAGAAAGGCCTCCTTGTATTTCAACGTCATTCTCGTACATTACTCTGTTAGGGTAGTGCAACAAGGCACAGGTCGGCAAAAAGTTGCTTACGAGATTTATTCGTTTGCTAGTTTTCGTCCATTTAGTGCTCTTAAGGCATTAGTAAGCTTCCAAATTGCTTACATGGCCTGTATTAACTATGGAGGCTCACACGAAATACTCAATTCCATGTATGATGTAACGGGATTTAGTGGTCACTTACGGCAAATAATTGTTCATATACTTTGTCGTTAAGCGGAAATTATTGGTACATCACTTTTAAGTTTGAATACCTGTCCTTCTCTGATTTATCGCGCGAAGTTCACTTCGCCGAATAGGAGGATTCCACTCTACCTGACGCAATGCACTCATTTGCCAGATTTTAGTAGGTCGTTTTAATCATTCAGGGCCCAAACACAATGCCAAGCTAGCCAAAAGATCGCTAATGGGGTTTTGCATCACGTGTCCGCCCCCCTCCACTGCTACCGTGCACAAAGCATACATTTACTTACATGATAGCCGATTTACGCCCACTCCACACTTCACCCAGTTGCACCACGTGTGGACAATCCTGTGCCCCATAATCTGCATGGAACCAACTTCAGATAAGACACACGTCGCCCACGCGGCTTCACCGCACACCGTCAAGTCATACAACCGATGCAAGGGTTAGTACATCTAGCGTCATTGGCTGATTCGGGCTGGCTGAATTCGAAAGACACTGCGCGCATGGTGCATCGGAAAGATAATGAGTGCAATTCAAATGCGTCAAGAATTGTGATCAATTGGCTTAAGAATGCAACTCAGATGTTTAGGGTGCAATTCAATTACATTATAGACGGAATAAATAGGGAAATGGAATATAGTAATCGCAAAGCATTGACGTCAGCGCTAGGCAAGAGACAAAGTCCAGAGAACAACCCTTCGGCTGTAGCTAGTGAGCATGCTTTGCTAGTTTATTGAGGTCCTCATCGGAAACCCAGTGGAAGGGGGTTTATTTTGGACATGGCCAGTTGATATAGGTGGTTTAAACAGAGAATACTTCACAGTCTCAAAACAAAATAACATAATCGCGATATATCTATGGTAGCAGGTAAGTGCTGTGGGGCTCGAGGGGGCTATGGTGATGCCATGGAAGACGGCTTGAACTTTATTCCGCTATGGTTTAACAAAAGTAATCATTATTTTTCTAAGAGTAGGTTTCAGATTTGATATTCTCTTAGCTCCAAGAGTATTTTACCGGTTTGGTTTGGGCTAGATCAGGCCGTCCAAAATATCGCCTACTAGAAAACCATGACTGGATTCAGTAAGCTCACAGTTATTTTAGAAATGGCGTTACATTTATGGGCATCCTACAAGGGTCAAATACACGATTTGAACAGAGGTTCGCTGCATTTTAATACTAAAGTTGCACTTGGCATTTAGAATCTTAGCTAATCAAAACATTTCAATATGTTTTTTTCTGAACATGAACGACCTTACCATCACCAGGGTGTCGAAAGGTGGGAAAAGTAGATGGTTCACAAACGAACGGGAGATTTAATCACACTTGTTGCTGATAATGTCCCACTTCAATGTTTATCGATAAACCGATCTGATGCAGTGTTACCTTGGCTAAATTCGTTCGCAATTTTACGCATTTTCGAACCAGAGTTATCTCCGATATCTTTTTTAAGTATATACATCATGAACACTGCCATTTTTACCATAACACTATACACTTCTTTTACAGGCGCCCCAGCCAATTACAAAAGTATGTCACAGCTTTTCACCCTCTGCTTATCTTTTTACAAATGTAGGATTGATTGCTGGTGTTGGATCGGTGTCTTCGGTTTATGTCACATGATTCAGATTGTGTGGTTACTTTGCAACGCTTACTTTTTCTTCCTTTGCTGGCGCACAAAGTGTCAGTTAATATGTCAGACTATGCCCTAGCCGCTGCTACGTGATTAAAGGTTTTAAACTGCACCTCTAGCCGGGTATAACATCTTTTGTGTTGTGGTGATTTGCCTTGGAAGTTATGCACATGTTGAACTAGTTATTAGCACATGACAATTTTAGTTGGTGTACCACACCATGTCACTGAGGAAGTTTGCATAAAGTAATGGAAATTTGTTCATTCACTACTGCTGATCTCATCTTATATTTCAGGAATAAGGTAGATTTTATGTATTATGCCTAAACTGGCCGATATCTCAAGCTAACTATATTGTTATGTTTAAATCAATGCAACATAGGTCTGTCGTCGAAAATGGATAAACAATGCTGTCACTCTCAGAAATATAGTGTTTGTTCGGAGGTGAAGGCATTTATTTGACCGAATAAAGTGGTCATCTTTCCGTATTACAATCTGGCTTATGGCCAAAAAGGGTTCCAATGCTGAAAAAACCCCAGATTCGTTGCTCTATCTGAGATAATAAACTGTGACACCTAGATGTGGCGAATCACTATGGACAGCACAACTGCATTCTACTGGAACGTGGTCCATGGCAGCTTAATTTATTAAAACTTTCGAATTAATTCGGTCAGCAGTTGCAAAGCCAGATCGTGCAGTTATAAACCCGATAACAGGCGCATCACACTTGTGGTAAGATGGCTCCAACGCGGTTACTTACACGGTCATCTAGAGAAGTACAACTTTACCCTAGAGGCTGTGCACAATAATGACAGAAAGGGGCACTACGGCTTCTGTAGGTCTATCAGCAGAACATTACGTGGTATCGCGTTCAAATATGAAGAGAGTTACATGCAGTTATGCCAGGCGTTAACTATCTTTGAAGCACCTACCGAGATCCACACTATCTCCATGGCAGAACTTATTGTTTAGGAGAATCTTTATTTCTCAAATGCCATCACTATATCTTTGTTCAATTCACATCATGTTTCTTATTCCAACTATGGTTGCAGCGGTCTTCATCGTTGGCGATGTCTATCAGGACAAAACAGCAGTGACTATTAATGAAACTCAAAGAACACAGAGCACAGAACCGCACAGAGCGTTGGAGAGAGATCTGTGTAATCAGGTCAGTCAGTCAGCAGCTATTCAGTAGGTCAGTAGGATAACAATTATACCTATTAATGTGCATAACAATTCCGCAGTGAGTTTAATTTCCACAACATTCGATGGTCACAGAGGAACTAGCCCCCTACCCAGAAAACAGCTCGTAGCTAAGCAACGAAACCACGCTATCCACTACTCCGTGAGCTTTTCCATCATAGAAATAGGTCACCAGATGTGAGTCTAGTTAACAGTTTATTTAACTTGAATATTCGGTTTTGGAGCATCCACAATATGGCTTGGATTGCGCTACACAATCTCAATTGTGACCGCGACTGACTTTAAAGTCAGCCTCAACCATACCAAAGTGGAGATTTTCCTTGTTTCTGTCTACCATCTCTGCGCTCCACGACTGAAGCAGCAAGTAGAGAGCGCCACCGCATACGGTTCCCGTGATCGGAATGGCACAGCTTGGCTTCAAAGTCAACCGAGGCCACAATTGAGATTGCGCGTTGCAATCTAAGACACAGAGGTATTCCAAAACCCGACATACAGCTTCTGACCACTGTGTCAAGCGCTGTTCGCAGAGCGCAATGACCAAATGGTCATGGCAATAGCCGCCAACCCAACTCAAGTCTTCTCCACTTGATGAATCCAAACGAGGACGAAAGACGTCATGGAGTGCAGTGATGGAGAGCGCAACATATCAACCCCATGTTGTGAGACCTGCTTTTGTTCTCACCTCAGTTTAGCCACAAAATCAAGTCTTCTCCTTAGTAGGTCTAAAGCTAGTGTCCCGACATCTATGGCTTCCAACCGGCGTGTAGACAAACGGTCGGTCAACTGGATGATCCTATTCTCACCTACAGGATAGACGTACTGGTATATTGCAATTGACTGTCATTGACAGTTTGCAGCCGGAATGCCCGAGTGTCGTATGGTCGAGACATCAGAATTAAGCTAAATGTCAGCGGATGCCAGCGAATGCGGATTTTAGTGAAATTTACTAAAACCAGGAATAGTTATGTTGCGCATTACATTATCACCAGTCTCATAATGTTCGCATTCTGAGTCACCATAGAAACTTTAAATTTGTTGCCTCAGCCAGCTTTTATCTTTCAATCCAAAGGTGAGAAAGCTAAAAGCAGTTGTACTCATGCAGCATAATGTGTATGTTAGTCCATTTTGGGACAGTAAATTCTATGTATACATGCAATCGTAAGATGGCCACCTTTTTATAAGCAACGCGGCACAAATGCTTGCAAGCAAAGGTCGTTCATGGTGTAAAGCAAAATGGATTCACCCCATCCCCACCTCTATGACAGAGCACAAATCCAACAGATAAACGCTGTCACTTTGAGAAAGCCGTTCATGAAAGTCTTTATCACTTTTCCAGACGCACGAATTCTAACTTGCCAAATTAGGGATAGTAACTCAGGTGTTCTTTGTTTAATCAATCCGGTGGTGAACAGTAGGTGGACGAACAGTAACACAGCTTCGTGTTCGTCGCTGTGCTCCAATGCTAATGTCATCCATATGTCACGAAGAACTCCACAAATATTGTCTAAAAGGCATGTATTTACACATGGAGTTCATCTAAACCCCAAGATGCCCAAGTACGCCTAATAATATGGACACGATTATAGATCGTTGACCAGAAATTTGGTGAAATTCGTCACAAAAATAATAACTTTCCCACAAGCATACGACGCACACTGATTAACTGGGGCATCAGCACTGCAATTTAAAATACATTGTGACCGATCACTAGACCACTGGCTGACGCCAGTCCATCAAATGTTATGATGCACAAATGAGTTGAACATTAGATAAGGTCGCATCGCCAGTTCCTGCAATTGTTGGTAATAAAATAATCGCTAAACATATTGCCGATTTGAATCCGCTTACTAACTCACTTATATTAATAAATGCACAGACTAAAACAGCGTTTCAAACAAACGATCAAATCAAGGAAGCTTGGCACGGGTGCGCGATAGACGAAGCCACTGCTAGCAAAGTCACACTTGCAGTCTCCTTCGACGCTGACATCTTAAAAGCAAAGAACGTAGACTACAAGTCTGCAGATTTCATGGAAAAAATTGCTTCAGCAATCAAGGGGTCAGGCGTACCGCCTGATCCGAAGACATACTACTTCTATTTGAATGTTGAAGTGCATGGTAAGTTAGAACATTTTGGACTTGGAACGTCGTTTTGTGTTCTAGCACTGAGCCGTGAGAAAGTTAAACCATAAACTGTGCCCGACAAATCCGTTGTTGACGGAGCTGTTGAAGGCTGAGTGCTCAGTTGACTTTCGAACCCGGTTAGAAGGCGTGTTATATCTGGGTGACGTAATGCATGTTAATGATTCAGCATCTGAGCTCTGATGGATGTTTTAAGAGATTACCTCCAAGATCCTTGACGTAGGCCATGAATTTTAGCATTATGCAACCCTTCAGCGACAGGAAGTTTTACAGTTGTAGCCGAATTTCAGAGTTAGCATTTTTGCCATGTAGATGTCATGGGTCAAAAGTACCTTTGTTACTCCATGTAATGTGTGGGATTTACAATGGCCGAAGGTTAATTGGGCATGATTATGAATTTCATTGAAACTGCAGGCGAGATTACTTCTGCCGAATAACATTTACCCCAATAATATCTGAGTTATTAACTATTCCAATGGTCTAGCCGGGCAAATCGTGAAATTTTAGATCCTTGCTGACAACAGAGCGATATATTTTGTTCACAATCAGATTAGTCTATTGTTATAACTACAGTGTAAACATGGTCGCAAACAAAGTCTATTTCAGAGTTGTAGTGACCACTGTGTGCGTGCATTGGTGCTTAGTTGGGACCACACTTGGCAGCTCCCGTAGTTCCAGTGTGGTCCTCTCTGGTCTAACTCATGAAGGTCATCACCGGAGCCTGAAGGGTGGCAAACTGCTTTAATATTAACTCCACGAAACGATACTTAGCTGTACAACCTCCCGTTTAACTTCATCTGGCCGCCGCATACAGCGATGTTTGTTCGGTCGTTTGGAAAGCCGATCTAAAAACGGGTTGGAGACGCCAGCGTCTCTATACGCTTGAAACATGAGTTCGAGTTAGGTTAAAAATGCCTTTAAACGACAAATTTCGACCTCCATCTGTGGCATACTGCAACGAAACGCATCTAGTCTGAAGCAAATGCCAACACTACTGGTTATGTTGCGTTCAGTTTTAGGAATAGGTAAATGTATGGTGTATCCGACAAGTGTACGTAAACCGAACAAGTATGGAAGCACCAGTATAGTTATTCCTATACAAAACCAGGCTCCGAACGATTTCAACACATCATCCGGACCACATTCGACAAAACCATGTAATAGGAAGTGGGTGAACAGAATTAGTCATCTGTAAAGCCGCTCATAGATGGTCAAATGTACTCCTAGTTAAAGAAATAAGTATGCCGACAGAGGAAGGCGCTTAGTAACCAGAAGCAAAAAACAAAAGGGACTCACAGGAGTAAGTGCAACTTCGCAACAACTGCAAATCAAGGATTTGGGTAGCACCACCCTAAAAGCATGTAGAATCAACCGCTGCAGTGTCGTCGCAGAATGAGCTCTTTGTTTGAAATACTACTTCGGGTTGACAGCTAAACACCGTCGCACTCATAGAGATTTGTATGGGAAGTGAACTCACAACCAACCATGGTGTACCAAGAATCGTAAGTATGAACAAACCATCAAATAAAGCTCTCGAGATGGCTCAATACAACCTATTGAAGATGCACCGGTTACAATATCACATAAGTAAAGAAATCTAATGGTGTGCGCGTCACACCGTCTCATGGAACTCGGAGTAGGCTAAGTGCTCAAGCGTCTGTATATTTTCAGTTCATAGTCTGCATCGTTGTGTTTTCTCCTCCTAACAGTGCAGTAATCATCCCATTTCACCTGATGTTCTAACACTCTTCTGGTTCTGTATTGTTTCGAGTTGCGTATGATTAGTAAGACGTTTGGACGAAAATCCATACAAATTCGCTTTCGCCTGGTGTTCACGTATCTTCACTAACCTACCTAAGATAGCATATGTTCTTTTAGTGGGAAATTAACATGCTTTACTTTAATTTGTTTTCAAAATCATACTGTTGTGAGTAAATGGTTATCGTAAACATTATGAAAAAACATAAACGTAATGCCATCTTGCTTTGAAATATGGTGTGAAGAATTGTCGGGTTCTGTAATGTTGATTCTGGTGGAACCCGCGGGTCTCACATGATTGCAAGTCATTATAACATAAAAAGTAACTTTCAACAAGAAAAGGACTTATCACCTTTTAATAGAAAGGGACACTCTGTCATTAAACTTGTATATGTTATGATGTAATGGGCTGCATTGTAATATCGCTCCTATGCAACCATTTAGGTTTCTGTTCCCGTCTGTTCATCTTTACTTCGTTCAATCAGGTTCCGCCATGGCTATCGTTCCTTCGCTCACCATACTCATGACGACCGGGCTGGTGTGTGTATTGAACTTGGTGATGTGAACCTGGACAATCGGACAATGTGGTATTCTCGCAAATTAGTTTGTCTCCAATCTGTGTTGCTGTGTTGTAGGAAATACCGAAAGCAAAATATATGGTTAGTTTAGCTGTCTATTGTGTCTTTTTTGTGGAAAGTTCGCGTTATAAAAAAAGAAGAAACCATCCAGTCCCCATATCCAGACTGACAGAATAATGAGAGTTTATAGCATGAACCTTCGTACAAGCGATACTTCTGCACCATTAATTAAGTCTGGCTCTCCTGAAACTTCAGCGCCATTCGGCGTTTGTGCGCATCCAGCTACTGTAGACACCTGAGGTGGCCACCTAGATAATAACCATTATGAAACGGGGTCAACTGAGCTCTTGCTCACTCGGTCAGATAAATGAGGAAACAATGCAATAAGCAATTATTTATAATGGATATGAAAGCAAATGCTTGA